GCTGGGCTGAGGGACGCACCCTTCCCCCCCGCCCCCCAAGTGCCCAAATTTTGTGCACCGGGCCTCTAGTATATAATAAAAGCCTAATATGCTAAGTGTCTGATTGTCCGATAGGCCATTCAACCAATCAAAGCATAATATGCTAATGATATGCTAAGGCCCCTCAATGGCTCGCTATGACATGCACTGACCACAAGGGGGCAGACAGTCAACCAGCTGACCAGTTGCTAAGATGTGCACTGACCACCAGGGGGCAGACAGTCAACTAGTCGCTATTGACATGCACTGACTCCCAGGGGGCAGATGCTCTGACTCGTGGGTGAGTGTGCTGCTGGAGTCCGGCCCATCAGGAATGAGCAAGATGGACTGGACATGTCCTGGAGCCCTCCCACAGTCCCTCCCTGGCTGACCAACCTCCCGCGTCCCTCCCCGGCCCCGATCATGCACCAGTGGGGGGTCCTTCGGCCTGGCCTGCACCCTCTCGCAATCTGGGACCCCTGAGGTCAGAGAGCCAGTTTCAGCCCGATCCCGCAGGCCAGGCCGAGGGACCCTACTGGTGCACGAATTCGTGCACTAGGCCTCTAGTCTATATAATAAAAGCCTAAGCAACCATTATGGTAGAATGACCAGAATAATCAGTCACTATAATGTGCACTCCCACAGGAGAAATGCCGCTCAGCAAGAAGCAGGGCTCACAGCTGGCGATCACAGTGGTGGTGGCGGGAGCCTCTCTCGCCTCCACAGCAGTGCTAAGGAGCAGCGAGCCAAATGGTAAGGAGCAGCGAGCAGGCAGATGGTAAGGAGCGAGCAGTCCCGGACCGCAAGAGGGATGTCCAACTGCCAGCCCAACACCGGGAGTGGCCCTACACCGGCAGTCAAACATCCCCCAAGGAGTCCCGGACTACGAGAGGGCACAGGTCGGGCTGAGGGACACCACCCCCTCCACCTCCAGTGCACAAATTTTGTGCACCAGGCCTCTAGTTATAAAATAATGAAAAAGGAATATGTGGTGCTTTGTATTTATTTTCTCTGAGGGAAATAAGCATTTCGATTAATTAAACCATCTTTTAGTCCAGCCAGCGTGGCTCAGTGGTTGATCAATGCCTAATGCCCTCCCCTGCTGGCCTGATTGCCCACAAATGCCCTCCCCTGCCAGCCATCTTGTGGTGGCCATCTTTTGACCACATGAGGGCGGCCATCTTGTGTGAGGTCATGATGGTCAATTTGCATATTAGCTCTTTATTATATAGGATTCCTTTATGTATCTATAACATAAACATTTATTTAAAAGTATATTAAAATATTTAAACATTCATTTTCCAAATAAGTGAGCTGAAGTAAATTATTAATCAGTTTTTTAAAGCACAAATCAGATCATTTTAATAACTAATGCTTTAGTAAATACTGAAGAAAATATTGTAGAGATTCATTTCAATTGAATATAGCTACTTAAACCAAATTAACCAACCTAGACACCTTTCAATAGGAGTGTACAGTGAATTGTCTTGGGAGGGGAAAGTGGGACAGGGGAGAGGAAACAATTAACTCTTACACTTTCCATTTCCCTACTGAAACAGGAAGTCTTGGCAAAGAAAGCTGGAGATCTGCCATGTTACCACTGAACTGTCTCCCTTTCAAGTACACTTCATGGATCTCATACTAGTGAGTAATGCAGCAGAGCTCCCTAGCAGGAAGGTTACCAAAGTACCAACTTCCCGTTTTATTTCTATAAAAGGAGTGAATTTTAAATTTTTGACGCTATTTAAATATGTGGAAAGGTGTTTTCAATTTAAATTTTAGGCAGCTCTAATTGATGATAACTGAGCCTAAACATATTACATTACAATATTGAACGTTCTGTTATTTATTTCATATGCTATAGGCAAGCTAATAAGAAATGTGGCCTTCACTAAAGCAAGTGTTAGCTGGGAGGATAGGACTAAAAAAAAAAACATACTTCTATAAGTTTAGAAATACCTAGATATACTATGTTTTATGTGTCATGGTAAAAAGAAGCAAAGAGGCCTGCTTTTTCTTGCATTCTCAAGCTCCCTGCAGCTACCTATTAAGACAATCCTATCCTACCTATATAATAAAAGGCTAATATGCAAATTGACCAAACAGCAGAACAACCGGTCGCTATGACTTGCACTGACCATCAGGGGGCAGTCAATGCAGGCGCTGCCCCCTGGTGGTCAGTGAGCTCCCACAGGGGGAGCGCCGCTCAGCCAGGAGCTGGGCTCACAGTTGGTGGGGAGCGGGCCTACGCCAGCAGGCGGACATCCCCTGAGGGATCTTGGACTGCGAGAGGGCACAGGCCATGCTGAGGGACACCTCCAGTGCATGAATGTCATGCACCAGGCCTCTAGTTTAATAGATTAGATTTGGATTCACAAACATCAACAAAAGACTGGAATTTATCTTCATTTATCTTGTCATATTTCATGACTGTGGCCTCTGCTCACCAGTACTGAGTAAAGAACAAAAAGGAAAAATACATTATTTGACTATCATTTCTTACTATGAAGACAGAGCAAGGAGCAGAATGACTTATCTAAGAAAGGAGCACACGCTGCTCTGGTCTTGTTCAAATCACAAAAGTTTAAAGTCAGAAAAGATGACCCTGAATAACCCTTTCACAGATAAGAAACTACTGATCACTGTTCAGTAATTTGCCAAACACCATACAAGCAGGCAGTATAGAAGATGGAATTAGATCCCAGGTTTCCTCCTTCCTTATGCTGCTCCAACAGTATCTGGCAGCTGGTGGGAAAGTA